CTACAGTGTCCCGGAAAGTCTCATCAACATAGCTCTCTACCTCCCTTAGTTCCTCCAGTTCAGCCACCCTGGCCTCCAAAGCCCGAACTCGGTCTTTGAGGGTCAGGAGCTCCTTGCAACGGGTGCACACATATGCCACCTGCCCACAGGGCAGGTAATCATACATGTTACACTCGACACAATAAACAGGATAGCCCCCACTCTGCTGCTGGGCTTCTGTCTCCATTTTTCTAATGAATAAGTTTAAGTATAAACTGGAATTCTTTTTAAACCTCTGGAATATAGATTATTCTAAGAGTTCTGTTTTAAAGAAGGTCTGAAGGCACTAGTGCCCTCTAACCTCCCTCTCCAAACTCTCCTGTTAGCTGTTCATGGTCACGCTCTCCCTGGTCGCTGAGTCACAGGCTTATATAGCTCTGGTAGCCCCTCCCCCTGACTGAGGCTCAGCCAATTAACAGAGGTGTCTAGATTTCAACCCTTTTAGAAGCTCCCTCAAACAAACAAACAAACAAGAACAAACAAACACAAGCTCACACACACACACACAAACACACACTCCAGACAGCCACTTACCACAAGGGTCCCATTTTTACTCCTCTTTTACCTGGAGAACTCCCTCTCCAAACTCTCCTGTTAGCTGTTCCTGGTCGCTGAGTCACAGGCTTATATAGCTCTGGTAGCCCCTCCCCCTGACCGAGGCTCAGCCAATTAACAGAGGCTTCTTGATTTCAACCCTTTTAGAAGCTCCCTCAAACAAACAAACAAACAATCAAACAAACCAACCAAACCCAAGCTCAGCACACAGCAAATAACTCCCCCACACACAAACACACACTCCAGACAGCCACTTACCACAAAGGTCCCATTTTTTACTCTTTTACCTGGAGAACTCCCTCTCCAAACTCTCCAATTAATGGACAGGCAATTGAGAGGAACTTTGGAAAGTGGCAAAGATTGGCAGGGACGAGGGAAACTTACCAAGTTCACCAAGGGCCCCCCTGAATTTCCATACTGCAAGAGAACATAAACAATTGCAAAGGACGTTACAGTCACATTAACGCCAGGGTGCAGAATAGCTTAGGAGCGGCCAGCCAGACAAACATGAGCATCCCTTCTTGCAAGAAACTACTCCCCCTTTTGCAGCTACATGCAGGACTGGGCAGGCCAAAGGCTCATCGGGGCTGCGTTCTTGCTAGGAAACATAACACCTCATCAATAAGCGAAGGTGTGCTGAAGGCATCAGACCCTCTAGCAAGGTCATGGTGTGGGTAGCGGCTCTAAGGGTATGTCTAGACTACAGGCTTTTGTCAACAGAATTTTTGTCGACAGATACTGTCGACAAAGCTTCTGTCAACAAAGAGCATCTAGACTGCAGCCAGTTCTGTTGACAAAGCAAGTCGCTTTGTCGACATGACAGTGTAGACGCAAAGGACAGTGTAGATGCAATAATGCCTTCTACTGACAGAACTCTGTCGACAAAAGGCGTTACTCCTCGTAGAATGAGGTTTACCGCCGTCAACAAAACTGCTGAGTTCTGTCGACGTTATGTCAACAGAACTCAGCGGCAGTGTAGACGCAGGTATAGTTTTTGTCAACAAAAGTCCACTTTTGTCGGCAAAACCCTGTAGTCTAGACACCCTAAGGGAAGACTTTGCTGCACAAAGAGGGTTGCGTCTAATTCCCACTCGTGTCAGTCACTCATGAGCCGTTCCCCAATGAGAAGCTCCAACCTGCATTTATGCTGCTAATGGAGCTTCTGTGTATTCCAGCACTTGTGTGGCTGGACTCCTCTGTATTTCCAGCCACTTAACTGCAGCGAGGGAAGCTAAAGCCCTCCCCAGTGTGCTTCCCTTCACAAGCCATCCTTGTGATTCCACATGGACGTGAGGTGAATGCGATTGGGAGAGGCACCCATGACACCAGGGGTGTGAATTGCAACGTGGCTCCCACAAGGAAAAGGGTGGGAACTCTGGATGCGTCATTCTCCAAGGCATCCTAGCTGGAGCTGGGTAAAGAACTCTGTGCTGCTGCGGCCATGCCTGCAGTCCCCGCCCCTGGAGGGGCAGTCTCTAGGCCTGGCACTTACATTGATGATGGCGTCTGTTTGGATGTACGCCATGTCCGAGTCCTTCAGGCCAAGCTCCTCGCTGCCTCTCTGCGTGGTGCTGACAATTCCTGCCGTCACGGTGTTCTGTAAGGAGAAGGGGCTGCCCAGCGCCACCACAAACTCCCCAGGCCGGAGGTCAGAGGAGCTTCCCAGCAGGAGCACAGGGAGAGCAGTCTGGGGAGAAGGCAGAACAATGAAGCTGGTCACCTTCCGCTAGAGCCAGATTCCTTAGACTAGTGCAGGAGCCCCCAGGCTCGGGGTGGCCGTTACTCCGTGGGAAGCAGAGCAGAGGTAACTACACACCCTGAAGTGCAGGATTCCTACGGTCAGTCACTGAACACTGACGTGAAGACCATGTCTTCATACCGCAGGGTTGAACTTTGAGGGCCTGTTTTCTAAGGGCTAATTGACACACGGGCCAGAGGAGCAGCAAATAGCGATTAGCTACCAGGATGTCCAGGGAAAGATTTGGCCCAAACACAAGCATTCTGCTAACCTCCTTGTGCGTGGACTTGGATGAGGGCATGGATCAGAGGCAGGTCTACACAATTTGTACAAATGGAGGTTTTGATGGGTCAAAAGCCATTTTATGGACAATTTCAAAAAAAAATCTGACCTTCACTGGGTCTAAGTACAGGGTCCCATTCCATCACAGCGACATCCTCCACTAAGCCCCACCTCACATGTTTTCCAGTGGGAAGTCTTTGAAAGAATTTTCTATTGCTCCTGAGGGGAGAGAGACCGGTTTCCCCACTTGGTCCCACTGTGGCTTGGCTTGTCATACGATGGAATCACGTTTGTGGCGTCTGACAACTGCTCTTGGCAATTTAAAGCACCACGGCTCTGCCCGAAACAGTCCCCCTTCCTTTCCTTTCACCCTTTGGGGAGAACCTCTTCCTTGCCATCGTAAATGGGATGCTCCAAGTCACTGCACTGCCGGCACCACCTCTCTCTTCGCTTTAACCAGGATTTCAGTGCGGCATGCTGTGGCCATACTCGCGCCTTTCACACTGAAAGGGGAGTTCAGCTTAAAACAATCAGTGTCATAACGTGCTCGTTTATGGACTCAAATTAGCCCGGAGTTTTTTAAATACAGCTTCAAAAATAGCTCTTTTCTATTACTGCCCCACTTTGGAAGCTGAGTTTTCCATTGTATTTCTTTACTCCTATCTCCCAGGACTTCGCAAAGATTATTTTTATTTTTTTTAAATAAAGAACAAAACAGAACAACCCTATCTAATTCCCACAGAGAGACACAGAATCTCTTATGGACACGCAACTCATGCAAAGATACAAACTGGGCACCAAAATGGAAGTTTTCTCCAAGAAGGTGGAATATTTGGGATCTTTAATACCTATGTGGAGTATTTATTTATTAGTGTAACTAAAAGTTATTTGAAAAAAAAATCACCAGCATCTTTCTGCAGCTACTGTGAGAGTCTTTCTGCAGCTACTGCGACAGAGACATAGGGGATACGTCTAGACTGGCAAGATTTTGCACAAAAGCACCTGCTTTTGCGCAAAAACTTGCCAGCTGTCTACATTGGCAGCTTGAATTTGCGCAAGAGCACTGACTTTGTAATGTACAAAATCAGTGCTTCTTGCGCAAATAGTTTCATGCTCCCGCTCGGGGAAAAGCCCTTTTGCGCAAGAATACTTGTGCAAGAGGGCCAGTGTAGACAGGGAAGAACTGTTTTGCGCAAAAAAGCCCCGATGGCTAAAATGGCGATCGGAGCTTTCTTGCGCAAAATCGCGTCTAGACTGGCCACGGATGCTTTTGCGCAAAAGCACTTTATGCAGAAAAGCATCCGTGCCAATCTAGACGTGCTTTTGTGGAAATACTTCAAACGGAAAAACTTTTCCGTTAAAAGTATTTCCGCAAAATCATGCCAGTCTAGACGCAGCCCCTAGGGTGTATGCTCTATACTGGGTAAGACCAAACTCGTTACAGTGGAGCAGCTCTTAAACCTTGTGCCCACAGAGATTTTTATCCAGGCCCTCCCCCCATACTACTATCACTGAGTCTTCTGCAGGAAAGACTAGAACCTAAAACATAAATGCACCAGTTTGGAGTTTAAGCCTCCGTTTATTGTCAGCTTCCCTCCCTGACGGTCCTCCCCCGGGAGCGCCGTCAGACTCACGTTGGGATAGATTTTGATCAGGGCTATGTCCAACTTGTGGTCGACATCTTTGATTTTAGCTTCGTACTGCTCCCCACTCTTGAGCTCCACTCTGACTCTCTGCTTATCGGTGAGGACGTGGGCATTGGTGACAATCAGTCCTTCCTCTGACACGATGAATCCAGAGCCACTGGACACAAGAACATCCTGGCTTGCGTAGGACACCCTGTGCGAACGAACAAGTTATGGCATTGCTGTAAGTCTGGGTATGTACCAAGCTGCATGCTGAATACGAGTGCTTGCTGATCTAAATAGAGCCCCGCGCAGATACAAAATGTGTATCCGCAGCTTTAGCAGAAAAAATGAGCAGCAGCTATCTGCGGATATCTGCAAATTTGCAGGGTTCTAGATACAAAATTTGTATCCGCATCTGTATCTGCAAAAATGAGCCAACAGAGCTCTGCAGATTTGCAGGGCTCTAGATATAAACCTGACGATCGTAGTTTAAGGTTAATTTTCATCCTAACCCCACCTTCACACACAAAAATCTCAAAAACTACAGCACCGGTTGCCATCATGAATGGCCCTTGTTCAACCAGGACTCCTGGGGAGCAAACATTATCTGGTACTACAACTACATTAGGTTACTAAAGTGGAAAGTTTTAAAATAATGTGTATTTTCCCTCTGGTATACTATTTCTTTATAGCTTTTTCATCACACTTAGGGTATGTCTACACTACAGAGTTTTGTCAGAAACAGCCATTTTTCCAACAACACCTGAGTTACGTTCACATGCAATCGCGTTCTTCTGAAAGTAAATTGAACGAACAGAAGGGTTTCTCTGGCGTTGGCAATCTTCTTTGTACGAGGAAGAAGCCTTTTTCTGAAAGAGCTCTTTCAGAAAAAGGTGTGTGTGGATGGGGAAGAGGGAGTTCTTTTGAAAGAAGAGGAAAGAGGAAAAAGCACAAGTGCCCTGGTGGCCACCCCATCCACAGAATCACAGCTTGAATGTGAGATAAGGTCCATTCAGTGTGGACGCTATCATTTGAAAAAGCAGATTGATTTTTCAATGTGCTTTTGTGTGTGGATGCTGTCTTTTGGAAGAATTTTTTTCCGAAAAAAGGTTCTTCCGAAAGAAGCCTGTAGTCTAGACGTAGCCTCAGTGTGGTCAATGAAACTAATCAGTGGCGCATTTTAAAAGTCCATTTCTTACCACTTTTACTTTTTAATTCTCACATCTGGCCCAATGCTGCCATAGTTGGACTGGAGACATTGCAGGACAATCTTTGGTTTTGTTTTTTAAAGTCATGTGAACATTTATATTTTTCTTAGTTTTCACAACTTTTGGGCCGGATTTGACAAACGTGTCCCTATTAATCAAACAGTATACAAAATGGCATTGCTTACAAGTCTCAGGCTTTCTGATCTTGTATTTGAAGCCTCTCTGGTAACAGCTGGGTTTCTAGAGGATTGTTTTACTGTCCAAAGCAGCAGCCCAGGGATGTCATTTGAAATGGTGTTTACATGCCTAATTGGAATTAGCCCTGATGAAAGTCCCCTGTGCCAATTTCAAGCCCATCTAGAAGACAACAATTATAAGAAGTTCTTCCTCCACATAGTGATCTATTTACTCAAATGTTGATGAAAGAGATCTTGGTCTGCTCTGCTGTAACATAGGTCACAGGTGTTTGCAAAACGTTCTCTCAATTACTTCAACCAGCAAATCGATAATAAACCAGCCTCGGGCAGGCGTCCATACCTGCGAAAGAGCTCAAGGTGCACAACAGCTGGAGCAATCTTCTCCACCACATCAGCAATAAAATTAAACTTGTGCCTCAGGCTGTCGGGATGGAAGGAGCCTAGGGGCAAACAATTTAATTCCTGTTTATCGTTTTCCACTACCCATTCTTTGAGAGGATAACAAGCCTTGTGGCTAAGGGGGAAGCGGTAGATGTGGTAGACCTAGACTCAATAAAGAATTTGATCCCCCCCCAGGCACATGCTTGTACTGACTGTTATGTTTGCCGTCTGGTTGCAATTTTCCCTCTGAAGGGAAAGCTGGCAAAGACCCTAAGGATTTTTCTCACCTTCCCCTGGGGCCGTGGATGGAAGGAGCCTGTGTTATTATTGGGTTGCTCATATATGGAGTACACAGCGTTCAGTGACTCGCCTGTGCCATGTTTATTTTAACATTAAGTCATGGCTGGCAGTGCACAGTGCCAAGAAGCACAGAGGGATGGTCTTGATCTTTGGGGGGAAGTGGGACTCAGCCAAGCAAGTATGCCCAGGAGAGACTAGCCTCCAGAGCTCTGCTCAAACTGGCTTTCCTTGTTCTGCCCCTACTGCCACAGAGGCAGACAACTGGTTTCCACCCCACTGGTTTACTCAGCACCGTCATGTTTTAACTCCCGAGCTGCCGGTAAATCGGCGCTAAGGTAAAGGCTCGTCTCCCCGGGGAAGTCACTCAAATTGCTACTGGGGGGCTGTTCTCTCAGCAGAACACCCCGCAGAACAGCGGCTCCACGGAGAATCCCGACAAGTCCCCCGTCAGCCGCCGGGGAACTCCCCTGCTGGGCTCAACAGCCGGGGCTGAGCAGCTCAACCCTCTGGTCCCGGATCTGGTTGGCCCCTTGGCTCCGGGCTCGGCCGGCAAGGCCCGTAAGGGGCAAGAGCATTAACCCCCGACACGCCCCCAAGCCACTCCAACTGCAGCCGGGAAGGGGGCCAAGGGAAAGGGGCAGGAGCCGGCCGGGCCTGGACGGGCGACCCGGAGAACCGGGGGGAAGGCGGGGACCGGGCCAGGGCGCGGCGGGGAGGAAGGCGCAGTGCGAGGAGCACGGCAGGGCGCGCAGGGGGATGCGGGTGCCGGCTGCGGGCTGGGTG